GCACATGGAATAGGGAGCCTAGAGAGACCCAGGGACCGTGGATGGGGGTGGGAGTTCTGGGTCACGCACCCCTCTGCACCCCACCCCTTCTCTCCCAACCCTGCCTGGCCTGGTGGGACAGTCCCACCTGGGACAATCATTAGTCAAATATCGGGCACTGGGGTAGACCCAGGGACCGTGGATGGGGGTGGGAGTTCTGGCTCACGCACCCCTCTGCACCCCACCCCTGCCTGGCCTGGTGGGACAGTCCCACCAGGGACAATCATTAGTCAAATACCGAGCACTGGGGCGTTAGGCTCCTCACATGTCTCCTAGCCTAAGCCAGGGGGACAGGGACAGTGCCCCAGGCTTGTCCTGGTGCACAGTGGGGTAGGGCCGGGAAGGGACAGCTGAGCTGGGCACGGCTCTGTCCTGGCCACCTCACAGCTACGGTGCAAACAGGTAAAAGGCCTGTTTGCTGACCCTGTGGGCTGGGGGGGGTGTAATAACAGATGTGGGGGGGCCTTGAATGCCAGTTTCTCCACACCCGCCCTGCCTCTTGGCTCTCTGTGATCCTCGCTTCAGGACCTAGGCCCTAGGGGAGTTAGGGACCAGGAGGAGCAGATGAGAATGAGGAAGGCCAGGTCTCTTCCACCTTCCGACATCCCTTCCTCCTTGTCCCATATCCTCTCTCCCTCCCTCCTCACCTGGCTCACACCTGCCACGCCTCCCGCTCAGCTTCAGCTGGCACCCAAGCCCCCTCACCACCCAAACCCACAGGTCAGCAAGGGCAGCCTGGGGCTTTCCTCAGAGGCCGCACTGACCAGAATGCTCTCTCCCCACCCTCTGCCCCCAGGGCTTCGGGGACCTCCCCAGCCCCAGCTGCGGAGAACTCCTTGGACTTTACTGCCTGTAGTTGCATTTGGCCAAGGCTTCTTAGCTGTTTCCCTACCTTTTATCCATCTGCTCAGCCAGCGCATTCATTCATTCATTCATTCATTCATTCATTCATTCGTTCGTTGAATACTTAAGACGCTGGGCCAGGTGCTTTATGCTGCGAGTGTAGGAATGAGCAGGACAGGCGGGTTCTCTGCCCTCGGGGGTCTGCAGACTTGGGAGCGTCTGAGGCTGAACACTCTCAGGCGGGGTCCGTTGGTCACTCTTCCCCACCACTTATTTCCCCACTCACCTACCTGGGCCCGACACAGGGCCACGGTTCACTTTAAGCAGGTTGGAAAGAGCTGGAATGCCAGGTGGGCCTGGGGACAGGGTTTGGTGCCCAGAGTGAGGCAGGGACAGCGGTGGGGGCAGAGTGGCCTGGGGCAAGGGCAGGGCCGCTGACAGAGTCCGTGGGTGGCTGGGTAAGGGGTGGAGGGCACCTGGCAGCCAGCCTCTCTGCCTCGGCTTAATTCCCTGGGCAAACAGCCTTTCCGGGAGGGCTGTGGGCAATGCTGTGGCTTCAAAGAGCCCTGGGGGCCATGGGCGGGGTGGGCCGTATGCAGGGAAGCCTGCCTCCCCAGTTCCTGGAATTCTTGCTTTCCTGGGAGCTCAGCCCCCTGCTTTGTTCAAGGGGAACACATCTGGGGCTCAGACCCTGGCCGCCCTACTGCCCTCAGAACGGTCAGTCAGGGCGAAAGACTGTGCTGGAGCTGGGGGGTGGGACAGCGAGACCGTCAGCCCTGCCGCCAGCCCCCTTGGTTAACATGCACCCTACTTTTCCCTGTCCCCCCTCCCCCGGGCTGGTCGACAGTGACTGCCAGCTGGTCCCTGCCCGATGCTGACGCACCCAGGAAAAGCTCAGGTCCCAGCACGCCCGTCGAGGTGGCTCTGACCCGACCCACCTGCGAGCCACAGAGCGGGACAGACCCACGTGCCCTGGAAGACTAGTGACCCCTGGGGCTTCCGTGTGCCTCCTCGACTCCCCCTGGTCAGCACAGCCCCAGCATGGGTGGCCTCACAGAAAGCCCTCCCCCACCCCGGGGTGCCTCCCTTCCCTATCACTGTGTTTTCCTCTTCATCACACAAGAATGTGTCCGCAGGACCTGGGGCCGCTCTCCCACCCCATTGTTAATGCAGGCGCCTCCCCACACTCCCACCCTGACAGGCCCAGGCCTGCCCCATGGGGCCGGCCCACTTGCCCCTGCCGGGCGTCCAAATACACCTGTTTACCTTCGGGCCTCAGCCCAAGATGGAAGTGCACCTGACTCCTGGCCACCTCTCCTCGCACCCGCCCTCACACCCCTTCTTTCCTGCCCTCCAGCTCACCCTCTTCCTTCTGAAATCCAGTGTCCCCAGTGCGCCCGGCGGGGGGTGGGGGATGGGGAGCAATCGCTGCCCCCGCCTCAGCTCTGCAGGTGCCTGGCCTTTTGCTCCGGGACAGCATGGAGTGTGGGACGACAGGAAGCCCCGAGAGTCACTGGAGCCTGGAGCTGGGGGTGACCTGTCCCGTGGGACAGGATGTGCTCTGGGCCGGAGGCGGAAGAGGGCCCCCAAGGTTCAAGCTCCTGCCCTTTCCATAGATCCATTCCTGGCTGGGGGATCCACGGGGGAGGCAGGATGGGACAAAGGTGGCAAGTCAGGGGGTAGACGAGTAGCTCCTTGCTTTGGGAAGGGCTGTCCCCAACACCCAAGAATGACGTAGTTCAAGGGTTTCTTGCCTCAGAGGTGGGGACCAAAAGAGATAAGGAACCTGCTCAGAGAGCTTGAGTCATGGGCTCCAAGCCACACAGCTCAAAAGAGACAGGGCTGCTCGATGCAACATGTGACCCTGGATTGGGACATTGGTCCAGAGAGGTGCATTGGCCAGGCAGTGGGCAGGACCTGGAGGCAGTCTGCAGTGAGGGGGGGCTTGCCAGGTCCATGCTGATTCCCCGATGGTGAAGGTGGCACTGGGGCTATGTAGCAGTGTCCTTGCTCTAAGGAAATACGCACTAAAGTAGTTCTCGCTAATGGGGCATCATGCCTCCAACTTACTGTTAGATGCTGCAAAATATACCTTGATTGGATTACTTCGAATCCACAAGTGAATAGGAGGTAAATGAACACCTTTTGAATAAAGCAGCCCAGCCATGGTCCAGGGCAGGGATGGGTAGGAGGGACCTCGCTTTCCATCGCCCTGAGGCTGCCTGCTCAGCTCTGTGCTCCAGAGCCCTTCCGAGCCCTCTCGCCTTTGGTAGCCTCTGGGAACTCTTAAACGTGCTGATGCCAGGGCCCCGACCCCAGAGATTCTGGTCCCGGGTGCAGGGATTTTTAGGAGCTCCCTGTGTTCCTCCCTGCAGCCAGGAGTGAACTGGAACCTCTGTTTGGGGGGTTCTGCTTGCCCCTGACCTTGCCCCTTCTCCCCCAGCATGGCCTAAGCAGAGGGTGTGGATCTGGGGACACCAGCATGCCCCACCTGTCAATTCTGCCCCTTTGGCCAGGGCTGGAGGCTGATCCTGGGGGCCAGTGGAGAAGGCCAGAATGTCCCGTTGTTTCCCCAACCCTGGGGGCCATGGAGATGAAGGCTGCTGGGTGGTGGGGGAGGGAGGGAGGATTTGCTTGTGGGGCAAAGGAAGTCTCGGAGCTGAGGCAGCCTTCTCAGCCCGCTGTGGGAAGGGGGTGGGCTGGCTTCTGGGCTCTGTCAGGCCCCAACCCCGCTGGCCCTGCGCTGTGTGCAGCCCTTCTGAAATATTTGGAATAATTAGCAAGTGAAAGCAGCAAGTTAGCAAGGGAATGCCAGGCTGGCCTCCAGCCAAGCTCGAGTGAAGGAGAAGAAAAGGGCTTGGTGGAGAAAGGCATCCGTGGAGGCCGAGGCCGGGCAGGATTGTGTAGGAACAGTGCCCGTTTGTGCCAATGTGCGAGTGTGTGTGTGTGTGTGTGTGTGTGCGCGCTGGGGGAGGAGCTGAGAAGCACGAGGGTGTGTTTGCGGGTCTGGGAGGGGAGGTGGTTTCCAGGCAAAGCTGGGGTGAGGGGATTGAAAGGTGCCCCTGTCACCCATTTCCTGTGTCTCTGTCTCCTCATCAGAGCCCTGAGGGCTGGTACCTGGCAGAGCAGACCTGCCCGTGGGAGTGAGTGGGGAAGCGGGGTCTGGGCACTCGGGCTGCCCTGGCCACCCGCCTCCTCCAGCCTCGAATCGGGCCCTGGGGCCGGGGCCCTCTGACCTCACACCTTGTCCGTCCAAGAGAGGACCCAGGGAGGGAGGTGCTGGAGACGGGCCCAGGCTGGGGACCGCAGACGCCAGCAGACAAGCCCAGGCAGGCCCTCACAGCGGGGGACGCATGAGCAGAGCCCTGGGCAAGCTCAGCCTGTGCGATTCCCCAGGGCCGGGGAGGGGGCCCTGCCTCCTTCGTTGCATACTCCTGGGGGGCTCTCCCCATTGTGCAGATGGAGGTACTGAGGCCCAGCCTGCAGGGAACCCCTTGAGGGCTGCCTCTTCACCCCTTTTTCTCTGGGGACACAGAGGTTGTGGGGAATTCATCAGGGGGCAGGCACTTCTTCAGGCCTTCCATGACCCCCGCACCTTCCTCCCCGCTGTCCTCTTTGTCACTGAAGTCCCCTCTCCTAAACTGTCCCTCACCTTTTCCTGAAGAAAGTTGCAAGCAGGTCCATTTTCAGATTTAAAAAAATTTTATTTTCAAAAAATTTATTGTAAATAACGTTCCATGAAAAAGGTTAAATTGCCCCATGGGGCAGGAGAGTGGATGTGGGATGCAGCCCCAGGGGGCTCAGGGTGGAGCAAGACACTCCCTCCCACGAGTGCGGGCAGGGGCACGGGCGACACCCCCTTCCTGGTCCCAGTGGCTCCAGCCATCTCAGCATCCCTGTTAAGCCTCAGCTATAGCTATACTCACTACGTTAGTCTGTCTGTCCCCTCCCCTCTGCAGCTCGGCTG